TGAAATTATCCGTTCTATCTATTTGTTTCTCTATTATCTAATATGATGTGATTTTGATCAGATATGCTTCTAAAAACAATAAATTACTCACAGTTTATTTTTAAGGCCTACCAGAAGTTCCCTTATAATTTTTCTTATTTTTATTAAATAAATAAAAATTATGTGGGATTTTCTTCAGCATGACCTCCTCGCCAGTAAGATCAATTTCTGACTGTTGCATCTGATTAAAATCACATCAGACTAAAAAATATACATAATATATAATTTTTTATACAGATTTAATGGTGAAAATAAAAAATTACCAGTAATTATTCTTTATGATTCTACTTGAGAAACTCTTAACCTAAAAATTATAACGGTAAAACCTCATGACCCCACTAAGTTATATGTTGCTCTGCCATCATCTTTAACCGGTGTTGGATCTAGTATTGCATAATTTTACTCTTCTTTTTTTCCCTTTAAAAGTTAAGAGTATCTATAAGGGAACTCTCTAAATTTTAACTAAATTCTAGTTAAAATGGTTAAAAAATTATTTTAACTAGTAATTTTTAATGAGTTACTCTAACCATACTCTATATTTTAGCTAAACATATATTATTTTAATATTTTTTTGAGTTTAAAATATAAATAATTTTTTTTAACTTTTACTTTATGTCAAAATAAAGAATAAAATAATAAAAAGAATAAATAACTAGCTATATTTAGCTAGTAAAAAATACTTTAGCCAAAATAACTAACCATTTAGCTAATAATTGAAGTGGAGAAATTTAAAAAAAAAAAAGTTAAATCATTAACTATTTCAGCTTAAAACATGAAATAGCTGACATGGTTATAGTGGTTCTAGGGAGGAGATAAAACTTGCTATAATGAGAATCACGTATCTAAGATTTTTTTTTGAAAGATAAGAATAATGAAGGAATTAAAATTACATATTTGTATTATAGTTGTTACTAGACTAAAGTGATGTGAAACAAATAACACCTAAATTGTTAGGTAAAAAAAAAATAATAATAACACCTTACTTGTTACTTAAAAAAAAAAGAAAAAAGATAACACCTAAGTTGAAGATTATTTATCTATTTGTCATTGTTCTTTCTTTATCTATATATTGTAACTTACTTTTGTTTTCCATAATTCGTTGTCTCGTTGAGAATAAATATAGCATCTATACGTAAGTTTGTCTTGCATTTTTTTTAAGCTTCTCTCGTAATATTAGAAAAATAAATTTTCGGTTGTTTTTTATTTTTAACTGTTAGATATGTATCTAAAATTATATGTTTTACATATTTTTTAATCTAATATGACTTTAACCTGATCTAATAATTTGAAACTAACATTATTGATAGGATTGATCTATTAGAAAACTCTTTTTTTTTTTTAGTTGAGAGGAATATTTTTTTCCTTTCCCTGTTACTTGTATAATTTTTCCCTCCTGGATTCTCTCATTCAATTCTTCGTTATTTTATACTTTTTGAGTTTGTCTTGGATGAATAATTTGATGTACCAAGTCAATTGCCTTAACAATAAGACGATTTGTAACGTACTTGGAAAGCATTTTATTGGTAGTTTATATCTAGGGACGGTGTTTGTTTTTGTTTTTGTTTTTTGGGAATATATTGACGGTGGATTAATTGAATTTAGATTACTCTTACTATAAACATCTTCTTCCTTTCTTTTTCGCTCCTTTTATTTTTTATTTTTTTTGGAATAAACCACTTGTTCTTTGCAACTATAGTTAGTACAAAATTGCGTAGGGTCTTAGCAAAAAAGGGTAAAAAATAAAAGAAAAAAATGGAAAAGTTAACGGTAGGTTAACATACGGTTATTTAAAAAAAAAATAAATAAAAAATCTTACTATAAGTTCAATGTAAGATGTGAAATGGGATAAAATAAAAAATACCAATTAAAATAATAAAAAAATTTATTTATATCATTACACTATAAAATAAATAATTATCATTTAATTAATATAGAGAAAATTACAACATTACCCATTGTTTTAAACAATCCTATTTATGCCATAAAAAAATTTGATGCCATTCTAATTATTTTTTCTCTCTCACAATTGGTCCCCCATCCCTCTCACTTCTCATTCTCTCATTCTCTCATTCTCTTTCCTGATCTCTTTCTACCAATGCATTTCTATCACTCTCTCTCCTCCAAACTTCTCCATCTTCACCTCCCCCTCTCTCTCTCTTCCAAATTTCTCCATCTTCACCTCTCTCTCCCTCTCCGTCTCCCTTTGAATACTTCGAGACTAAAATCACGATGATTGGACGACTAAATCGGTGGGATAGTGCTACGAAGGCAGTGACGACAAAGGTCCTCAATTTTATGGCAACCGGTGATGGTTTTTGACTGATATGGGTCAAGATCAACTCGTCATTGGCCTCTAAAGAGTTTGGTACTGGCGGTTCATACCACCACCCACCGAAGAGCGAAATTTGATGACAGCTCAATGAGATTTTGGTGATACACCAACGGTGGTGTTATTGCGATATTGGCTGGCGAAGCTACTTTGGTTCTCTTCGTCTCATCACTCTGAGTCAGTAGAGACCGAATAACTCAATTAGAGGTTGAATGATTGAGATATCGCGATTGAAAGTTTTAAGTATTTTAAAACCTCGGTCGGCATGTGTGGCCTCCTCTATCAAAACTAGTAGATGCAAGGCACGGTTCCAGACTCAGCTCATCAAGAGCTTTCTAATGAGCTAGGAGGTGTTGATAATGGATGGCGGAAACTCATTAGAGGTTGTTGGCCGTGTACGGAGAAGAGAAGAGAATTGAGAGAGATAAATATTATGCAATATATGAAAAATAATTTATAAATTATGAAAGGTAACATGTAGGATAAGAAAGATAACTCATCGGGGTATGAAAATAACTTATAAGATATTAATAAATGACTTATGATATTGGCGGTATAAAATAAATTTAAAAATAATGACAAAAATAAACTAGTGTTTCCTTTTCTACGGGTTTTCTCAAAATTTCCCTCATTAAAGGGCTATTACATATAGATGAGGCCAACTTACACATTAGGGACCTTTCACGTGGGTTTTGGATCGGAACTTATGAAAGTTTGACCCAATTCCTATTTTGACCCAATTCCTATTTGGACCCAATTATATTGGCCTCATTTTCCTCTTTTTTCTTGCACTTGATCAGGGAGCTTCGATTTCTTTGTTTATATATATATATATATATATATATATATATATAAAGAGAACTTTGACTTATTTGTGAGGATGAGAGAAATATATAATTGTTAGTATCTCTAATGCAGATGCAGTGTGAACTAATGTGTCATGGCAAGTTTAAACATTTGAATATAATAGTGTTATTTTTTTTTTAAGGGAGAGTGTTAAATTGGCACTATGTAGAGCATATCTTAAAATTTGACATTTGATTATTTTCGTTGATGTATTAACGTTTTCATTTAATCAATAATGTCCCATTCCAAAATATATAACAATGTTATTTTAAGTTATTTTAAGGGAATTTTGACAGTAGGAACTATCGCTTTACAATAGAAATAAAACTTCTTGTTTTAACCTCTAGAGTAATTTTTCAACGGTTAATCGGCTAATATATGAGTGTCTGCATTATTTTTTCATTTTGTCCTTAGGCTTTATTTTATTTTATTTTATTTTTTCATTTTGGATCCTTTTGCACATTAAAATATATATTTTTCTTTATTTTAGACATTGATTGATCTTTTTTTGACTTCTTGCCTTAAATTTTTTATTTTTATTTTTTTCCTTTTAAAGATTTTATATTCAATTTAAATGCTTTTAATAATAATAATATGGTAATCAAAACTTCACACCAATACTCCTCACGTGGTATGTACGTAGACTCCAACCAGTAAAAAAAAAGCGTAATAAAAAAAGGATTAATCTCACTTGGGCTCTATGAATTTTAAGGTTATTCACACTTTATTCTTTAAACTTTAAGAATTCTCACTTTGTTCCTTAAATTTTAAATTTATCCCATTTAAGTTTTTTTATAAGAATTTTTGTTAAAATCAGACAGCAAAAGAGGAGACTAAGTGCGATCATGTGATTTTTATATATTTATTTTTAACAGAATATTCAAACATAAAGACTGCATGACTGCATTACACTCTTTTTTCTATATGTTTTTAATAAAAATTATAATAGAATGAGTTAAGTGGGAACAATTCAAAGTTTAAAGAATAAAGTAAATAGTTTTTAAAGTTTAGGAAGGTAAATTAATAATGACTTTATAGTTCATGGACATAAATAATAATTAAAAAAATTTCTTTGATCTTTTTTTTATCGGTGTTCTTTATTTATCAGTCATCAAATTTATATTATTTTTTAATGTGATGTAATTTTTAATTAAATTTAATATAAATTTGATGATTGATAAATAAAAAACGACAATATTTCTAGAAAAGATATAACACCAGATAAAATCTCATAATAATAATCCTAAATCCTAAAGAAAAATAGCATGGAGAGAGGGGAAACCGTTCGAGTCTTGTCTTCATCAGTTTTAGGGGTTGTTCTTTTACATTTTTGAGTTAGGATGACTTAAGTGATAATTTTGAGTTGAGTTTGAGTTATAACTTGAGTTTGTGTTTGGATGTGCATATTTGAATTATGATTTGAATTGATAATCTTTTTGAGTTTGTGTTTGGGTGGATCAAAACTTAAATTTGTATTTAAATAGTATTATACTAAAAACTCAATGGTAATGAAAAATTTTAATAGGGTAAATAGGTGAGATTTTATTCGTGTTTTCGTTATGAATGCATAGAAAAAAAATCATCTCAATTAAAATTAAAACAAAAAAATTATAACATTTTTAAGAATAAAAAATACTGTTTATTAATTTGAATTTGAGTTTATAAACTCAAATTAAAAAAAAAATTTAAACTCAAATTTAACCTCAAACTCGAGTTTAAATTCAAGTTTTACATAAGAATATTTTTAAATTTTTTCTGAATTTCGTTACAAAAAATAACCCCTTAATACAAGCTTATCGCCTACCTCCAGATTCTCGTTCCTCCATTCTTCTCTATCAAATTCCCGCCAAAACACAAACCGGGCTGCTCTCTCTAAACCTGGGTCTCTGAGAATGGCGGCTTCACCGTCTCAGTCCGATGGCCAAGTCCTTGCTCCTTCGGAAGCTGAATCTCAGCTTTCGTCTCTCGTCTACGGTGAGTTGTCTCTAACATACAGATCGCGAGCTTTGTTTCAATTCATATTCGTCGAGATCTATTTAACTTTTCGGCCAGAAAATTTAAACCGCATTTTCTTCGAAAACGCCGTGCAAAAACCTTGGGATTTTGTTCGTTTAGATCAGCTATCCGGAGATTTCACACCAATTTGGATGGTTTTGCAATGATCGCGCTGATCCAGTGTACTTGGAGACTGAATTTTGATATTTTTCTGCAAACTAAACGCTAAATACTGTGCATAACCTCGCGATTTTGCTCATTCGGATCGACTAGCGGTAACGTTAATTTAGAGGATATATTGCTTTGATCGCAGTAATGTAATCTACTCTGAGAATCAGATTTTAAAGCCATGGATTTACTTTTGAATCATTGATAATTTTTTCCAGAAAAAAATACACAACAATTTTATTGAAAAATTATTTGCATTAAGTGATTCCGCTCATTAAGTTCAACTGATTCAGAATTTAGCGTTAATTTGGATGATATTTGTAAAGATCGTAGTGTTATTGTACTGCGAGAATTCGATTTTGAAGCCGTGAGCCACTTCTGAGTTGTTATGTTTATTTTTGTTTAAATGATCTTGCACTTACTTTCAATCTCTATTTTATTTATTTACTTTCTTTTGCTTGAATACAGAGATATCTCAACAAGTCCAAGGAGCCATGGAGAACATGCTTAGGACGATCAAGTGAGTTTTGATGAGCATTCTTTAGGTCGAGTATTAGTGCATTTGAGCCAAAATTGGAGGCAAATAAGTCCACTAACTCTTGTTTTGGTTGTGTTCTAAGCCTGGTTTCTGGTATTGTGTCTGAGCATGAAATGGTCGTTTTTGGAGTTTCATCCTGTGTTTTCACTATCTACATGGCTGTTGTTGAGAATGTTATAATCCAATTATTTTAGGAAATTTGACAGGTTTGTATTTACCGATTTTTGTTTTCTTTATTTGCTTTTTTATTTTTTTCTTCTCTAATTCTTATTAGCCTAATTGCATTTGTGAATCACAATTCTGTTGCTTGTCTGCTTCGCTCATTGCTTATGAAATGGAGTTCATTGAGTTTGTTGATTACGAGTATTTTTGCTTTTATTTGTTAGAGTCTTGAACATGGTGATCATCAATGACAAAATAACTGATTCTTGTCCATAATAGTTTTGGCCGAAGATTATTAACAAGTATCTGTTTCGCTGGATTACACCCACAACTGAATTTGCAGTGATATTGGTCAGAACTCTACTGGGATAATGGAAGAAATAGAAAAGTGCAAAGATTCTGCTATTGATAGAAAGAAAGCCTTGGAAGAAGAGAAGGAACGATTTCAGAAAGCTGCTTATACTGTGCTGGACTTGCTCAACAACGGAGACTAGATGCTGTAAGCTCTATATTCTTTTCATATGTTATGATAGACAATATTACCATACAAGTTACAAGACAATAAGATGGTTGGTAGTTTGGAAAATTTTACAGATTGCGATTTTCTTGAGTACTGTTTAGCTTTTAAAAGATAAACAACTGGTCATTCTCTCTTAAAGCATTTAGTTCTTCCACCTGTGAGCCATCGGCCATGACAATCGTGCTTCCTTTTTTACCAAACTTTTTCTCTGCATGCACAAAATTCAGCAAGGTCCAAAAAGTTATTCCATTTTCTATTTCTCCCAATCAAATTAATTCATCAAATCCAAGTTTATGCACCAGTGAGTGACACGAGTAAAATAAGAGAAGCTTTTAGGCCCGACTATTTCTTTTTAATAAGGTTAATTTTGATGGTAATGACTAGTACATTATTCATTAAGTTATGTGCATAGTGATGAATAATCGAATGTAGAAAATCCATTCACCCTAGAGCCGTAATTGCTAGATTCAGATTGTAAGTTGACCATATTTATTTATATACAATACTACTGCCTACATTTTTCTTATTTTTGGTTACAAATATATGATAGAATTTAGATCGATATCCTTGTTTGATAAGAGCTTTCAAATAAGACGAAATCTCTGAGACTATAATTAGGGGGGTAAAAGTCTCAAATATGGTTTACCTGCCAATCTGAAAAGCTCGTCGATTGAATCGGGCAAATGTACGAGTTTCCCCGATGTCTCACCTTCTGTTGTAGTTTCGTTGGGATTATATCCATGGATTATCACTCTGACAGGAAGTGTCATTCCTGCAAAATAGTCTCTTAAACTTATCAGAATCATGAAATACCATGTTATCTTGGAAATTTTATACAATCTAAATCTGTAGTCGATGGTGACATTGATCATATGACTTTGGCCTACCCCTGACATGTGGTTCATGTGTGGTATGAAATGCTCTATACCACTTTTAGTATGGAATTCCTTGTTTGAACATACGTGCTCACTGCTCAGTGACCCTATTAGCTTAGGCTATTACTTGCATGACTGTAACATTGATGAGTCTAGGGTTTACCTTCTAAACTTCGGTCTCTGTTATAACTCGGTGTTTCTTGATTATGTGGATCCTCGTTTGGTTCTATTTGCTGCAAAGAACATTCGGTGATCGTCATTAGCATGAATCAGCAAACTAGCTGGTATTTGAGTACATCTGAGGCTAACATGCTTCTAAAACAAACCATTAGAAATGAGATGTACATGGTATTCAAATTGCAAGTATAGCGTATGCACGGAAGTTATCTTACATAAGATGAACAACTTCATCAATTTGCTTTTGAGGATTTTTTTTTCCTTACTTTTCTTTTCCAATAGATCCTCCTTTTCAGTACAAATTTGCCAGATAGTCGGTGAGCTGTTCAGTATGCGTTTGCAAATAACTACTATCTAGCAAATATGTACTAAAGCATTTTGCAAATAACTACTATCTAGCAAATATGTACTAAAGCATTTTGCAAATAACTACTATCTAGCAAATATGTACTAAAGCATTTTGCAAATAACTACTATCTAGCAAATATGTACTAAAGCATTCGAATATAATGATACAGCTAGATAAACACGGAGATCACACATGTTACTTGGGTAAAGATGAATCTCTACCTCTCTGTTTAGGTCCCTCAATAAATCTGTGAGAAAGGGTATTGCTTCAATCATATCTGGTTTTAAGCTCTTCAGGTACTGCAAATGAAAGATTAAGAGTAAGCAAGTGATACAACTGCATTATACTGACTTGTATAAACAAAAATTTGAAGACGTAAACAAACTTGGTCTTCAGCTCCGTCTGTATTTTTAAATATCCTTTAACAATTCTTGTTGTTGTATTCATATATTTACTTGGGTTGATCTTAGTTGATCTTATTCGGTTTGTGTTTAAATATTAAACCTTACGTGAAATGTCGTCAAAGATTTGTGATAATGGTGAACATTTAACAAACCTCAATAAAATTGGAGAGTAAAGTCTTTGCGTCTTCATTGTCTGGCTGCAGTATTTGCTTGAAATGATTATGACTCATTCGAATGACCTGAGAAAGCCTCCTTGTTCTCACTGTAAAAGGTTGTGGTATGTTGAGAAGTACTGCGATTTCTCCTGCCATATCTGAAGATCCTAGTTTTGACACAATCTGACCAAGACACAACATCAGTCGGGCTGAGATGACAAATGATTTCTATAGTTTACAGATGAATTTAGTGACTTTTCTCTTCCAGCCTCAACTTGTTGTATTAGCTTTCCAACTTCCAAAGTTTGATTCCTTCGCCACTATTGAGTAGTTTGGAAGAGTTCCTAGAATTTGTCTCTACAACTTTCTGGATATCCTTATTTTTTTATAAAAAAAATCTGTATAATATTCATTCCATCAAAAGATGTTTATGTTTAAATGAACATTAAGAATGACTAAATCCATGTCCTTTGATTTTTTTTTTTTTTTTTTTTTTTTTTTTGTTTTTGTTTGGTGAACCTATGTTCTTGATGCTAATATTTTTGTTGGGTTTTACCTTTGCAGGTTGTTAGAAATATATAAACTTCGTGTAGATGCGTTCGTGTAGATGGAGTTTCAGAGATTTCTACTGTGATATGTTGCATCATCTAATGAATACTATTGAAGCCGTTATAAATCTCAGATAATAAGTTCCGCGGATTTGGTTTTGTAGAAATATGTTTTTGTATCAAGTGAGATTTACTTCTTGGATGATCGATATACTATCCTCATGATTTTCTACATGGATTATTGTTTTTGAACATTGAATAGAACATCAACTTTTTCTTCCCTTACATCTCCTTTGAATCTCTACAAGGTACAAGCAACTCTTTCATTCATTTCATTTATGGATCTCCCAATTTTTTATATCTAAATTATGCAAAGGAGATTCTAGGAATTATACAGGTCATCTTAGTATTTATTTGTGTACATGGTTGGATTCATATATGTACATAAAGAGTAAGGTTGTTTATTCGTTCCATCCTTGACTGTTAAATGACTGAATGCCATCATTTCTCCTAGTTATCTGGTTCAACTACAAAGCAATTATAGAGAGAAGTCTTTGAGCAGTTGATGTTTAATTAAATTAATCATATTATCTAGTGTAAAAGGCTGTTTTATGGTTCATGATTGACAATTTATATTTTAAATTTTCCGTTCATGTTCTTGTGATAAATGTGTACTACACTAGCTGAAGGCCACTGGGGTTGAAGAAATTTCTTACCTGCTCTGTACCATTCTTGTATACAATCACGTCCTGCAGTTTCAAGTATGTATTTATGCGTAAATTTGCTGGATTTTCTCAGTGTACGTGTTTTTGTCATTGTGCCTGTGTGTGATGTGTGTAACTTCAACGTTAGAGAGAATTTTCATACCACTGATCCTGTCACCAAAATATAGAAATCTGTCTGAATCTCGTTTTGCAAGATAATGTCGACCTTCGGCGGAAAATATTCCGCTTTCATCTCCGAAACCTGAAAGAAGAAGATAAGTTGTGTGGAAATTTGGGAGGAAAAGCAACAATGATCCTCTTCTTTGGTCACCTAGGTAATACCTATGACTAGTTATTCAAGTTTCCTAACTTTTTTTTTTGTTTTTTTTTTTTTTTTGTAACAATATGTTAAATTATGTTTCTCAAAATAATCATATATAGGTCTTACCAATTGAACAATAAGGTCTTCAGAGACTCCTTTAAAGAGGTAGGTCTTTTCAACAGTGCGATGGAATAGGTGTTGGGCGATGCTTGATCTTATTGCTTTAGGAAGATCCTCAAGCACTTCTTCTTGCTGTAACTCTACTGTCTTGAACTTGAGTTGCAAATGTGCCAGCATTTGTTCTTTCAATCCCTCTGGAAGTCTGTTCTTGCTTGCATACCTCAGCACCTGATTGATTGCTTCTCTCTGCAGCACAAAAACCATCACACTCATACATCCCAACAAAACCAATCTGTTATTTTCTTCCAATCAAATTCCTATTAAAATTTTGGATACTAATTGACATTACATTTTCAGGACATTCACCCTGTCGTACCCATAGTGCATGCTTTTTAACATTAAATCTTGTTAAAATGAAAAAAAAATAAAGAGAGAAAAAAGCAATACCAATGAAATTTAATAAAGATTTCACGGTTCAAAACTTTACTCTACCAGTAGAGTTATTTATTTATTTTTTATACCTTACTAAAATATTCCTGCTGGTTAGCATTAACGAAAGAAAATGTACAACATATGTGGGTGTGGAGCCCATATGGGATCGAAAGATGCGTGTTTAATACCATAATTAATAGAAGGCAGCTCCATTTATGTGACAAATTGTAAGACTCAACCTTCTATTAGAATAGAATGTCGTGTTGCCTTTAGCATTGTTATATGAGATCACAAACGTATGTGGAATATGTCAGTGTGGAGTCTATTGGGATCACACACCCTGTGGTGTGTTCCATCTTCCATGACACATGGAGAGTGTAGTAGGCTGTTGCTCTTGTTGTGAAATAACTATTGTCAACTCACAACTTAATACTTTTTGTTGTTCGATTCATGAATAGTAATATCCAATGTAGGGTCAGTCATGTTAAATGTGGTGTCAATTAAACTAAAAGGCACAACTCAAAAACTATGATGCTACGAAAAATGTTTGGAGTACCACCACTTAATTACTATTACTAATAGAAGGTGTATTCTATTTATAGACCTCATGTTGTTGCATTCACTTTTTGTTAGTTGGTGGTGCATCGCCGTCACCTATGTTTATGTCTAACATTGGTTAATTAACAAGTTTGATAGATATATAATGATTAGAAGTTAAGTAATCGAGTGGATTACCATGGCAAAGGTTCGCACAGCGCTGTGGACAATCAAGTTGGTCATGTTTCCAATGAGATAAGAAGTGAGGCCAATGTTGAAGAGCATGTAGATCATGTTGAAGACCTTCTCCCCTGTGTTGACCGCGTGAAGGTCGCCATATCCGACGGTGGTGACAGTGACGATTGACCAGTAGATGGAGTAGGTGTACCCCAACCAGATGCTCCTGTGCTTAAAGTCGTCCACCTGGCTTCCTATCCACGTGTTCGCTGGTGATTTGTGGTGGGCCGCCAGCCAGAAGTAGAAGCACCCAGCTGAGTGCACTGCAAATAGTGTCACCTGTCATGGAAATTAAAATTGTTTTGAGTAGAAAATATGTTCTTTCAAGTATATAATTAAATGACGAAAAATCCTACAGTATGTCACATTTATTTCCTCACCAATAGAGCGAGTTTTTACTGCCATTGGATTAAATTTTAATGGTCTGATCTATATAAATGAGAATACTTTTGTACGGTACAATTGCTATTAAAAAAAAAAAAAAAAAAAAAAAAAAAAATTTTAGGAAAAAATGTTTTTAAAAAAAAAAAAAAAAAAAAAAAAAAAAAAAAAAAAACTTGCTCTACTAGTAGAGATAATAACGTGGCTACCGTGGAATTTTCTCTTATATTGTTAAGTTATTTTAGTAGAGGGAAAGGGAGACTTACACTGATTAGTTTGCAGGTTCTTATCAAAAAGTAGCTAAAGCGCGTGTCTTTCTCTAGTCTGTAATAAGAAATAACTCCCAATTTATTTTAGTTTGAAAATGGTGATATATATTCTCATAAAAGACCAAAAAGTCACATAGGAAACAAAATGATATGGACTGTATAAAAGCTGCTATATAACACCGTTAGGACTTTCAGTAGTTTATTACATTTGATTCATTTGAGTAGCCATATCATCGTTAGGTGTTTTGATTTACAACCAATTTTACCTAATCGTAAGTTTTAACTTCTTAATTCTCATCAGTAATGCATGTTTCTGAATATAAGGCAATCAATCAACAATTTATGAAATTTAGATTACCTCGAAAAGAGTTGACTAACGCGCCGGAGTCGCCAAAGCCTAAGCAAATTGAGGAAGCCAAACGTCTCACCACGGTGCAGTTCGCCTGTGAAGATTCTGTATATGAGCTGAAACGGTAGAGTTGACGCCACGTCCATTGGGAACCAAAGTTTTGTAAGATACCTGATTTAACAAATTTCCCCCCAAAAAAAATCCTTAAAAAAATGTACACCATACAAGTACATGATATAAAATACACCATATATATTCAAATAATAATAATGATAATATACCTTACAGCAATTTTCTTGTGATCATCTACCAAAAGATAGGTTGTTTTATCCAAGTAAGCCACAAAGAAAGTGAGGATAATATCAATGGCAAAGAATGAATCCACAATCAAGTCAACGATCATGAGAGAACCCGTTACCACTTTCTTAAAAGCCAACTCAAACGGCGACGCCCATGCAGAATACACCACCAACACCACCAGAAATGTCTGCCACCACCTGCATATATATATATATATATATATATATGGATACACACATTATATTACATCCATACATACATATAATTTTTTTTTTTTTTTGCTGAAAAATACATATATATACATATATAGCTCTTTGTTATAGAAGAAACATAAACTGAAATATTAGAATTTTGGCCTCATATATTGTTATATAGGACCTTTGTGTAGGGTATATTATACTGCACATTTCTGAATCAAAATCAAATAACATGTAAATTTATTAGAATTAGAGTTTTCTTTCCTTCCCTTTTTTTTTTTTCATTGTCACACAAATAATACAATTAGACCGAGAATATTATAGAGAAACCAAAAGACTAACCTTATAAATATATGTATATATATATATATATATATATGTAAACATGTAGATATATGTACCTGTATCTTCTATCATAAGGTGCAATGACAAATTTCTTGAGACGAGGGTGTCCTTCATCGACGACGGTTCCAAAGGCAGGTAAGAGGCTGCTGGAGACTGAGGCCAAGTTCTTCATTTCGCCGCTCGAATGCCTTCGGAACAGCAAAGGAAGCGGCGACCTTGTTTCCGACAAGTAAGGCGACGACATTGTTCACCGGAATTAAGATCAAAGAAGAAGAGATCAGAATAATGTCAGATCAAAGAAGAGAAGAGAGAGAGAGAGAGAGGTGAAACAATATTATATATGTGTACAAAGTCCGTGAAACTCTTCAACTCATTAATTAGAAAAATGTTAATTATTTAAAGTCTCATTAGAATAATATGATTATTAGACAATAATTTCTTCTATGTCTAAATTTTCCAGCCTATTGACGGAATAATATATTGGAAATTAAGGTGTTATAGAGCTTTCATTGATTTTTTTCTTTTAATAAAACTTGAAGTGAAGATAACATTGTTTTTGGGGTCGTGTTGATCCACAACCGACTGGCTCAAATAAATAAGGCAACTTTCCTTGATATATGGAATTTTGTCAACTTTGGAAAGACTACTTTTGGTACTGTGTATTTAGACGATTAATTGTGAAAATCTTCAAAAGTAGTTTTGTTCTAGTTTGTCATAATTAGTCAAGATTTAAGATCTTTTAGGGTTAAACTTTTCAAGATTCAGAGCCATATCCCCGAAATTGAGGTAGCGTGTGCTATAATTATTATATTCCCTTTTTTTTTCCCCTGAGGGTATGATTATTAGTTTCTTGAAAGAGTTAATTTTTTTTGGACCGTTTCCAGTATTCTAAGATACCGGTATGTTAGATTTTTTATCCGTCAGATCTGCATAAAATCACGTAAAAATAAAAAAAGTACGTAAATTTAACAGTTAAAAAAATATGACCTACCAGTATGTCAGGTGTATCAGAAAATTTTTTTTAATTACTATACTTATTAAGTTGTTGTCCTTATTATTGGTTTAGAAGACTATAGCCCTTTCTCTCGCTTTTCGTTTCTTTTTATTTATTTTTTTTATAGAGTCCTGTACGTGAGCAGAAAGAAAACATATTGTTGTAATATCTTTTCGACATCAAATTTCAACACAAAATTAGCAAACTACGCACGCCTGTCTAAAGTCAAAACCTTTGTGTAATATATATGGGGGCTCATAAGATTTATTAAGAATTTGTCCATTAGAAGTTTGACTTTATTTGGTATATCCTCGATCATGGATATTGCCCAATTAAGGGAATTGATTGCGGCGAGATTTCTATGCTCACCCCTATATAGTTTCAACTTGTATACATACTCCAAACACTAAACAGTAACAGTTAATAAATGCTTAAAATTTTCTTTTTAAAAAAAAAGAAAAAAAAGAAAAGTGAAGTAGGTATTAATAAAAAAAGTAAAACATTTACATGCATCCTTAATGAAATTACTTTGCAAAGCATAGAAATACAAACCCCTAATAATGGCCCGAAAACACAACAAACTCAACCTCAACATTAACCGGTATTAATTCAAATGAAATGTTTAAGGAGTTTTAAAATTGAACAACCAAATAAGTAAGCTAATTATTAAATACACAAATGACTCTTTTAACAAAGCCACAACATTAATCAATGAAAAAACCCGATCAATTCATTTCAAAAGATGTGTAGCATTAAAGCCACCTACATACACAAAACTTTTACGCCGTAGAAAACTATTTATAAATGCAAAATCACGTCATAATCAAATAATATGCTAATTTATTATAAAAAAAAATATTATGCTAACAAGATGAAAGATTTTGTTACACTTATTTCCAATAATCCAATCTTTTTATGCACAATTTAATCGTACATGTTTGCTTCTGATTTGTATCTGACGTGATCATTTGGGTTCAATACACAAACAAATGAGATTTGAGATTAATATTAGCATTGTGTCATGTTACAAAAGCCTCAAATACCCCAATATTGTCGTGGCTACCATAACAAATTAGTTTTATTTTTCTCTTTTTTCTTTTTTCACCGCAAAACTAAAAGGTGTCACTCGAATCAAGTATAGGGACCCATAGCGAATTTGTTATTGTTCTATACAACTTGGAATAAGAGAACATAAGTACGTCGGCAGACATGGGAAGCATGCACATAGATCTTAAGTTTTTGTATATTCTAATTCAAATGATTGCTAAATATAGAAGTCAAATGATCTGAGTAGACTTTCTGTGTGAATTAAAATATTTGGCGAAGAATAAAAATAAGGCCCATTTGGCATTACTTTTGGAGGTTGTTTTTTTTTTTTTGTTATTTTTTTATTTATATATATATTTTTTAAGAAGCTACTACATATCAGGGTGCTCGGCAAAACATGTTTTTGTCCAACAGCTTTTAAAAACAAAGCAACTCCTATTGTCGTTGTCTAAATTTAATAAAATGACCCTAATAATAAAACTTAATTCCCAATCAACTTATTGTATTTCTTCTAAATCAAATTAAAGAATATATTCATTTTAAATGTTTATTTGAAAATTAAAAATACTTAATAAATATCTTATGCTAAATTTTAATAATATATTTTCATTATAATATTGCAAGTTTGAAAAATAATTTATCTTCATTTCTTTACATTATTGAATTTCTTTATAGATATATAATTTATCTATTTGAATAAAACCAATTTATTTTTAGAGATAATTTAATTAATAAAATGAAAATTATTTTTTTAGTATTTTGGTGTACAAATATTATGAATATTGACTATAAAAATGGAAATAAAACTAATTATAAGTATGTATATTTTAATCATTATACATCTTAACAGTAATTTTGTACATAGTTTACCAAACACTTAAATTTATGCTTAAGATATACACAACAATTTTGAAAAAAAAAAATTTACCAAACACCTACATATTTTTTTATCATAACAACTTCTGACTAACAACACAACAACAACATAAATTTTTAATAGTACAACAATACCAAATTAGTCCCAAGTCTTGGAACTTTGGAATAATTGACTATTTTTTATTCATAAAAGCACTTTTTTTTTAATTTTCTTTTTGTTTTTCCGCTTTTGCTGATGATACATGCACTTGAATTATGTAGGTTACCCCTAAAATTATCACGTCCCTCAGATTATTATTATTCTTGATTTGATGGATGATGGATATATGCGAGGAAGAGCAGAGAGCAGCTTATATTATTATTACTATATATTGTTTCGTTTTTAATTTACTAGTTTGTTAACTTGCTCTGCTCTGCATGTGTATATGGAAGGCACTTAAGCGGTATAGTATTTATTGTATTATGAAGAATTAAACTATAGAGGAGCCCTTGGGAGAAAAGAAAATTAATAGAAATTATTTTACTAGAAACAAAATAAAGAAAAGAAAAAGTATATCAAAAAAGCAAATTATAAAAAAATTGAACTGCTAAGGAGCATTTTGGGGAAAAAAAACAAAAAAGATAAATAAGAAAAAAAAGCAAAAAAAGGTACTAAGGATTGAGTTGAAAAAAAAAATGTTTAAAAAGTAAGAGAAAATATTTGACAATGATAACTTTTGAATTAATGACTAATAAGGATTCATAATAAATAATTTGGGGTAAATTTGATAAAATAATTTATTTTATAGGACCATGCGAGGAAGAAATGGTAATTTAAAGAAACACATTAGATAAAATAAACTGGAGAGTAGCCTTTGAAAAACAAAAAAGGAAAAATAAAATTAAGTAGGAGAACATTTAAACTGAATTAAGAGTAAGAGATAAAAATTCAGATTCATACACTTTAAAAAGTATTTGTCTCTTTTCCTCTCATAAGAATTACTTTTGGTATAATAAGAATTAAACGAGAAAAAATTAGTTAGAGGCCGTTTAAAAAAATTTTTGTGTGTGAGCAAGAGGGGAAAAAATTATAAAAGCGCATTGCAAAAGTTACACTGTAGAGGTGCTTTTACTAAAAAAGAAAAAAAGATTAAGCATGACTTATTTAAAAAGAAACTATAATGATAGGTTTAAAACGAGGGAAAAAAAGTATTCCAAAGAAGTAAGTTTTAGTAACTAGATAGTAGAGGAGTTTTTTATAAAAGAAAAAAAGAAAAAAAGAAAGGGAAAGAAAAAAGCAAGAAAAAAAAAATCAAAGAATCAAAAAAAAAAAAAAAAGAAAAAGAAAAAAAAAGGGAGTTGACATATGGCAAG